CTTAGGTTGGAGGGTTCGGCCTTTACTGCTTCCCATCTCGTCCTCGATTCTAGAGTACTTGTTTATTCGGACCATCAGCTCACCCATATCCGAGGGAGTCTTCTTGGTCAAGGATCGATACAGGTCCGTGTCCCTTGCCAAGCCGAGCCTGAAAGACGCCGCTGTCATGACTTCCGAGCAGCCCTCTACCTCATTAACCTCTTCCCAGTACCGGATGACGTACTGGCGAAGGGTCTCGAATTCCCTACGTCTGAGCGTTAGCAATGATCCAACGTCTTTAGGCCGCTTACTCCCCGTAATGAATCGAGCCAGGAACTGCCTCGTCAATTCCTTCCACGATCCAATGCTGTTGGGGGGAAGCGTCTCAAACCACTTCATCGCAGAGTCCCCCAAGCTCATAGGAAACACTCGGCAGAGGAACCGTTGGTCTGAATGATATAGGGACATCATTTGCTTGTATTGCCAGAGATGGGCTTCGGGATCGGACCGTCTGTCATAAGTTTTGAACCTCGGTACGACGAACTTTCTTGGAACCTCCATCTCTCCGATCTCCCTGGTAAAGGGTGGTTGTATGACCTCGTCTTCGACCTCATCCTGGATAGCCTTACTCTTCCTCCTGGATTTCAACCGGGCTCTGAGATCAATTTTCTCCCCCAACGGGATGTCTTCTGAAGTCCTTGAGTTCATCAATAGGTCCCCCATTTCCTGGGTGCCATGTGGATAGGGTTGAATCCTCCTCAGACTCATCTCCCTTCCTCCGTCTCGACAATCCTCGCCGAAGGTCGTCTAGGGCTAAAGGCCTTGCCTTCCTGGAATGGTCGTTAAGAGGGTGCTCGTTGGCTCTCGGTCGCTTTGAGGCCCTGGAGCTTTCTGCCTTGTTGTTTAAATGATTCCTTAGATCCTTCGTTTCTGCCTCCCGGGCGGGGGGAGCCCACGAGAAAGGAATGAGTCCCTCGACCCTTCGCTGGAGGCGGCGAATTCGTTGAGCTGGCTTAGGATGTTCACATTGTCCTTTTTCAATTGTCGTAATCGATCCCCAAACTTTTCTTCAATCACCTCTGCCAGTTGACAAGCCAAGGGGGCGGATCCTCCTGACCTGATGCCCATACTGGTTTGAGGGGTAACCCTTCTTGACTGAATAGAGTCATTTTTATTTCCATCAGTGTGATCCCTCCCTCCATGGTGATATGGAGCTTGTAATTCGAGAATTTTTTGTTGGGGACCTTTCCCTTTTTGTCGAGTATTCACCATGGTCACTCTTCTTTATAGAGAAGAAAGTAGGAAAACTAGTCGTTTCCCACAGACGGCGCCAGATTGTGCGTGTTGGATCTTGCACAATATAAACACGAGAATAGATCTCTCCCTTGGTGAACTCAAGTGAGTCAGTCGAGTGATCAACCCTGCTGCTTGGAACAGCCTGTGAGGTCCGGTGGTAACCTGGAACGGTAATGAGAGACCCTAGTGGATCAACGGAACGATCCAGTAAGGCTGAGGAAGGTCCCTGGAACAAAGAAAGACAAGTTAGAAGGGCGCCAGAGTGTTTTCTGGCGTATCCCCTCCGACGATCAAGTCAGTTTTTTAGAGAGGGGAAGAAGAAAGCATTGAGTATAATTTGTAGCAAAGGTTTCACCTTGTTTTCTCATCTTGCCTTTCGTGGGGAGTATTTATACCTCAAATACTTATGATTGCTGTCAGTATGATCAGTAGGTGATTATTAGATACAGGCAACGTGCGCACTGATTCCTACGAGAAATGTCTTCTCTTTTAACTGCTCGGGATCCCGAGCAACCAAGGCTGTGTCATCGGCCTGCCGACTGTTCAATCAACTCCTCTCGGCAAGGATGTAATAAATGTCCAGCCTTAGAGACATTTATTACCTTTCACTTTCGAGCCTTACCGCATTAAACGCTGTCTCATCAAGGGAATGGTGTAATTAAATATTTGCTTTCCCAAGTCGTATGTCAGCAAGGGCATCCGGTCTTTCTGTCTCTGATGTGACACAATTTGCCACGCGTCCATTCCTCATTGGCTATGTCCCCTGCCTTCTTGAGCCTTCTGACACCAATTGTGTAAGACGAGGTCATAATGGCTAACATAGCCTAGCCTAGGCTAGTGACCTGTACATCAGTAGCCTTTGCGGGAGCAGAGAATGCCATCTTGGACGGTATACCTCGGAACCGAGAAGGAGGTACATCTCGGAGCCGAGAACATCAGTACATATAGGGACCGATGTACCATATCCCCCGACCGAGGGATACGTGTCGGTACGTAACGTACTGGATGCCATTGATCCTTACGATCAGTACCTCGGGGGAGAGGGACTTGTGAACCGATGAGTACGTGTCGTGACCACAGTAACAAGAATTTAGTGACACCGAGGACACGTGTCTTCATCTTGGAGTATTTTGAAAATGTCTCATCAATATCTAAGTATACACATAGGGCAAACATCTTTCTCATCTTGTCCAGACCTCATAACTAAATAGTGCTCATGTTTTGAAATAAAAGAGTAGAGCTAGTGAGACCTAAAAATTGACTAAGTACCCGAACCTATAACCTAATGATGTGTCCGATGGCATGGTCCAAGAAAATTATTTTCAATATGACTATCGTACATTCATATTGGGTCTATATCAGCTTCCTATCAAAATTAAGTCTATATCAGCTGACTTATGATTAGGTCACTGGATCAGATCCAATTATAAGATCACATAACTCGAATGGAAATTAATAAAACTCCATCCTTCAAGTAGAGTCTAATTAAAGTAAAAGCAATTTCTAGTAAAGAAATAATAACAAAGCAAGCGCTGTATCATTGTTCCCCCAAAGGCTGAAAGCATGTAAAACCACATGTGTACATTTATCATATTTTTGCCATCTGCGTCCACTCGATCAACCTTAACAATATCATCAAGGTGAAGTTCAACCATCCTCACCCCTATTTTATCTCTCAAAAGCAAATGACCCCCTAAGACAATAAAAATGAAACAGGAAGGACAAGTTAGATAATGGTAGCAATTAGGATATTCAGTGGCATGTATAATTTAAATGCAAAAAAATGAATTTCAAAAGAAATAAAAAGACAGAAAAACAATGAGCTAACACAAATCTCTTTTAGCTTCAGGGGATATAACTGCATATCCTCAAAGATTCTACAGAAGATATAACTGTGAACACGTTAGGACAAGAACAACCTCTTTAACAAATATTATCATTTTCGCCTTTCATGTTGAACCATCATTTTAACTAGGGGTGTTCACCCTACCCTACGGTACGAAATATAGTCTTCTGTCTTCCTATCTGATTAGAAAATATAGCCTTTCGTTTTCCTACCCGATACTTTGCAGAAAAATTTTTTCTTGGCCTACCCTACCCAGTTTGGTGTGGTATTCCTACCCGACTAATCGGGTAGAAAGTTGAGTAAACACTTTTGTAGCTATTAATTTTTGGATCATTTTAACAATTCAATTAAATAACTTGCACCAATTTAACAACGTAATAAATCAAAAACACTAAAACCTAAAACAACTACAACAACAATTACAAAAAAATTACACACAGGTGAATTAGAACAAATAAAATTACACACACACAGGTGAATCAGCATAATAATCAGATCACAAGCTAAACGAGAAGGTGAAGGCATGATAATCTAAACGAGAGTAACCCACAAAGTAAATTTTATTAAACGAGAGTAACAAAATTACACACACAGGTGAATCAGCATAATAATCAGATTCGCTCTTAACCATGAGTATTCAGAATCAACTAAGCACAAAGTACCTACCAACTCTGGAATTCATGTGGGGAAATCACAGACCCATTTAACTGACCTAATATTTCATTGAATTAGCATAAAAAAAAACCTAACCCACAAATAAATTGGCTTATTCGAATATTTTTGAAGAAATTTTTCGAATAATTTTTGGCGAAAGGAAAGGACTGAATGATGAAGACCTGACCGCTTGAGCTATGGAGAGGAGTGGAGACTGTGGAGTGAGGCAGGCAAGAGGAGAGGACTGAGGAGTGGAGTGGAGTGACCGCCTGAGCTATGGAGAGGAGTGGAGACTGTGGAGTGAGGCAGGCAAGATGAGAGGATTGAGGAGTGGAGTGAGGCGAGTCGCTCGTTGTCTGTAGATGATGGTTAGCAATTAGGTTTTGTTAGTTTATATATATATATATATATATAAATATATTAATTATTGTGGGTATGGGAGGGTAGGAATACAGAAATTGATGAGTATTCCGCATTTTTACCCAATTTAATCGGAAGACCAAAAATTCTTTCGCATTCCTACCTGATTTTTGTGGCTAGTCGTTCAATAAGGTAGGGTCAGGTAAGGTAAGAAATTGAGGTCAATCGAAAATTTGAACACCCTTAATTTTAACAAGAATTTAGCATTGATCTGATGCTTGAAACACTGATCTCGGGGTAACAAAGAAACATGAAGAAAAGGAAAAAAAGATCACACAAAATTTCTAAAGCAAAATCAATAAATCAGGATTCTCCTGCAATATCGAATGTAATTGTTCGTACACATCAAACTTCTTGGAAGATATATTGTTTTCAGGAGAGAGAGAGAGAGAGAGAGAGAGATCACCTGTGACGATTAACCTCCAGGAACTTACAGGAGCTAGAAAGAGGGGGTTACGAGGGTTTAAAGCTTAGGGTTCAGAGAATTCAGAGATGGGTCGGGTTTTCAACACCAGATCAGAAGCACAACCCAAGATTATGTTGCATTGTTGAGACTTGCAACCTGAATGTCAGGGCCTGTTGGTTTAGTTTTCAAAACTGTTTTTTATTCTCAAAATTCTAAAAACAAGGGGATGTTGTTTGTTTAGCTATTTTGTTCTCCAATTTTTTTAAAATTTTGAAAAATGAGATGTGATTTTAGAGAACAACAAAATATTGTTCTCATTGTGTTTCTAAGATAAATTGAAAACAAGGGAAACAACCTATCTCCAAATTAATGAGGTCTCTCCTTCGAGTTTCATTGGAGACAAAAAAGAGAGACTACCTCCACCCCTCACTAAGCTCCCTCCACCGCCTCACTGCCTCCACCGCCTCACTGCCTCCACCTCCTCACTCACTGTGTTTCTCCACCACCTCACTGTGCATCTCCACTTTGCCTATCTCGCCTTTCTCTCCACTGTGCTTCAGAATGAACACACACAGAGGCGAAGAAACTCCTACAAATCGAAGCAACTCCGACGACTATGTATTGATCTGGGTTGTTTCAGATCTGAGTTACTCGATCTAGGTTGCTTCAAATTTGTTTCGATCGACTGTGTCTTGTTTGGTCTGCGTCTTGTCTTCTCCGGCGAATGACTGTGTGTGTTGTGTGGGTTTGTGTTATGGTTTCCCCTTGAATTCTCCGACGAATGATAGTAATTTCCCCTTGAATTCCATTCTTCCCCTCTCTCTAGTCTGGGTTCAGTGGTTTTTTTTTGGGTGGTTGTAGGTGGTTCGGTGGTGGTCTTGGGTGGTGAAAGAGAGATAGACAAAGAGGTAGAAATATTGGATGGTTCTCGGTTTGGGCGGTGGTCTTGGTGGTAGGTGTTGGGTGGTTCTCAGCGTGGGTTGGTGGTGGTTGTGGGTGTTGGGTTGATGGTGGTTCTCGGTTGTGGGTGTTGGGTGATACACAGTTAAAGAGAGAGAGACAGAAAGTTGAAGAAATGTGGGAATTGTGGATTATTGTCTGAACAAAATTTATAAGTTTTGTTCTTTAAAACTATTTTCAAAAATATAGAACCAAACAAGTTTTGTAATATAAAAATTTTTAAAAACACTTTCATAAAACTCTTCTCAAAAATATTTTTCAGAAACTATTTTTTGAGATGCAAACCAAACAGGGCCTCAGATTTTCTCTAGTTGTTTGTTAATTTTAAGCATTAGAAAGGAACAAGTCCAAATAAAGAAAAGGCAAAAAAATTAAAAATAAAGTTTAAAAAATTGAATTATTTGTTTTTAATATTAATCTGAATTATTTATTGTCAAATTATGTCATTTTTAAATTTATATAAAAAATTAATTAATTTCAATCCACTAATTTTTTTATCAAATTTATTTCGATATCGAATTCATATCGCGTTCTCTTATCATGTCAATTTAAAATTCTTATATTTTGCTTGGCCTGATGAAAAAATAAAAGGATAAAAAGTTAGAAGAATAAATTAGATAAGGGAAAAAAATAAGAAGAACCAAAAATTGAATGGATGAATCTTTCTTGGAATTAACCAAAATTATCTTTCCAAAATTAAGAAGAAACCATCTAATATATCTATATAATAAAGTAACTAAGTTAGTTTATCTTAAGCTTTTCACGGCTTAGATTGTTTGAAAATTATTAATCCGACGATCCTAATTAAATTTTCATTCCTTTTATAATTTTAAGACTCCTACCTCTCATATAATAATTCTATCTCTCTCTATTTTAAATATACACTCTGTGTATATATATATATATATCTTCTATCTCTTAGATGTTTTAAATACACTCTCCCAGACACACACACTCTCTTATGTCTCATATAACTCTTATTATGTATATTGTTATTTTCAGTGCTTCTTTACTCAAAGTTTGTAGCTTTAACATGATGTTATTATTGTAAAATATTATGTGTTAAATGTACTATTTCTATTTTTGATACTTGTATACTCATACATTTGTATAATTTTTTATGGGGACAAAATTTTAAGTATGGGCCGCCATGGCCATGGAGCCCAGTGAGCCCAAACCATTATGCTTCGCCTGTTAGCCCAAGGGAAGCATACCTAGCCAGCCCGTATCAAGAGGCAAAGCCCAAAAGGATCGGCGGTCCAGCCCTAGTCGAAAGATAGCCAGAGATGGAGAAGTCAAACCCTAACCATAGACGCATCCCACCACGCCACGTCCCTAAAGAACAGGGAGACCATCTTTGAAACCTATGACAGTCACACCCACCTGTAGGGAGTGGTAGTGCGGAACGACCCAGGCACAGTGGGTACAATAACGTCGGCTAGTAGGGTTTTACTTGCAGGGTAAGGACGGAAGGTCCCCCACAGAATCAGCAAGCAGATAAGAGGAGCCGGTAGGAACCCCTCCGGGGCATTCCAACACAAAAAAGAATACATGAGTTAGAGTGTAACCTCCTGTAATGGCCCAGCGCCTGTAATCCTACTTACCTCAAAAAAGAATCAATATACAGGCTCAAGGAGCAAGAGACTCCATTGCAATGGATGCAACCTCAGTCCGTCGGCTGGGATGAACCACTTAACTCATGTGCCTCTCCATATCGATTAGGTTATTCATCTGTTCTCACCACCTAAATAAGAATCATCAACTCCCTGTTCACAACCGGACTTGGGCCATAATTTTCGAGACCTCATCAATTTTATAGATGAGAATTTTTTAAATGTTAAAAAAAATTTCTCACGTTGTAGATATTCAAAACCAAGCTAATCACAAAAACAAAAAAAATTCAAAACAAAGTTAATCAATCACTAATAAAAAAAATAACAAATGATACCAATTGTACCAAAAAAAAAAAAAAAAATTCAAAGTCAATCTAATTATCAAAAGAAAAATAACGATGACCAATAAAAAAAAATAAGTGAAACCAATTACACCCAAAAACAATATTTGAAATCAACTATAAATTTTTTTCTCAAGTTGAAACATTCAAACCCAAGTTAATCACTAATAAAAAAATAATAATAAAGCCAAATATTTGAGTAATTTTATAAAATAAGAAAATATTTGAATGCTAAAAACAAAATTTCAAGTTGTAGACATTCAAAACCAGCTAATCACCAATAAAAAAAATAAGTGAAATCAATTGCACAAAAAAAATAAAAAATTTCAAAGTCAAGTAATAACCAATAAAATAAAATAAAATAAAAAAGAGATATCAATTGCATCAAAAAAATAAAAAATTCAATGTCAAGCTAATCACCAATAAAAAAATAACAAGTGACTGAGTTTATAATTATGTTGTGTTATTAGGTTGAATGGTGACAATGATGATAAATTCATGTCTTATAAATGAGTAATATTTTATTTATTACTTAAAAAACACAAATTTTATTAGGTCCCGTTAGTATTTTTTTTCTGAGGTATTTGTATATGTGATGTTATTTTGGGATATTTTTTATTCATTTTTGTGATAGTTCTATTAATATGAAGGATATAATCGATAATATATTTCGGGTCATTTTAAAAGAATTTGTACGAATATTTTTGGATCATTTTATTTTTCAAGTTAGGTAATTATTTGCGATTTTTTTATGTTTTATATAGTGCCTTTAGGCACGAACAATGACTAGTATATAATAAAATAGTTAGATTTCTTTGTCTTTACCTTTTTGGAGCTCAGATCGCTTGATGATTATTGATCCGACGATCGTCATACCAAACTCTAACTCCCTAACTCTAAGACTCCTATCTGTCATCTGACTCTATCGCCCTATCTCATACTATAACTCTCTCTCCTTATCTCATACTAATTAATACTCTCTTTTCCCTAACTCTAACACTCCTCCTATCTCTCACCAACTATACTTAAGGTTTTGATCAAAAAAAAAAACTATACTTATGGTTATTTCAATGGCTTATTTACTCAAAGTTTGCGTGTTTAACAATTAACCCCATAAATCGTGTAACCACTAACAGAACAAGACCACAATCAGTACCCAAATAAATAATGTAACCCAAATATTTGTATGATTTCATAAAATGAGAAAATATTGAATGTAACCAAAAATTAACAGGTTCTATACATTCTTTTGGAAGTTAGTTGAATTTATGATAAAAAAAGTTGACCCAAAAAAAAACTCATTTTAATCATCAATTAAAAAAATAAGTGATATCAATTGTGTAAAAAAAAATTCAAAACCAACCCAATCACTAATATTTAATTCATAAATTCACCCTTCAAGCTATTATTTATACAAAAAAAAATGCTACTATATGCAAACATATAGTTCTCAAAATAATAAAAAAACAAAAGTCAAGCTAATCACCAATAAGAAAAACAAGTGATACCAATTGTACCAAAAAAAATTAAAAAAAAAATAACAAGTGACTAATAAAAACAAAACAATTCCCACAAAAAATAAAAACCCAAAGCCCAAACTAATCACTAACAAAAAAAATAACAATTGACCAATAAAAACAAAGCAATTCTCCCAAAAAACAAAAACACAAAGTCTAAGCTAATCACCACTAAAAAAAATTAAGCGATATCAATTGCACAAAAAAAAAATCAAATTCAAGCTAATTACCAATTCTCCCACGCAAACAAAAAGTATAAAATAAAAACATAACAAGTGACTAATAAAAACAAAATAATTGAAACCAATTGCAGTCGTAGAAAAAAATTCAAAACCAATCTAATTGTCATTACCACTTCCACATACAAAAAAATATAAATATATAATCCATAAATAAGACTTTCAAGCTATTATTCATACCAAAAATAAATCACAACTGCAAGCACCAAAAAAATAAAAAAATTTAAAGTCAAGCCAATTATCAATAAAAAAATAACAAGCGGCCAATACAAAAAAAAATACATGAAACCAATTACACCAAATGTTAGTGGTGTATGCTTTGACAAAAGTTTGTTGGTTTTAATGTTTAATGTTTGTGTTGGTTTAGTTGTAGATGTTTTGTCATTAGCTGATTGCTGTTAAATGTTATATGTTACAATTGTATTGTTTATATCTTAATTTAGGTTGGTTTTATTGCATTTCTTAATTTAAGATTGTAAATTTGATTTCATTCTTTTAGAAGCTGATGAAGTTTCAAATAGAAAATTTTATTTTTTTTGACAATATTTGTGAACTTATTTTTTTTATAAAGATGATTGTATTTGTGGGCATTTTTTTGTTTAAGATATTTATTACATGGATAGATTTAGTTTGTAATTATGTTCTATTATTGAATTGAATTATGGTAATGGTGACGAATGCATAATTCTTACAGAGAGAAAGATTTTATTGATTTCATTTATTAGTTACAAATTGTAAATTTGATTTAGTTCTGTTATTATTATTATTATTTGAGGTAATTTTATATGTGGTGTTACTTTGAGAGTTTTTTATTTATTTTTATTACAGTTCCAATAATATGGGGACAAGTAATTTTAAAAGAAGAATTGCTATCAAAGTTTTCGGATTTTTTTTTTTAATTTGAACAATTACTTGCAATTTTTTTGTGTATTCCATAGTGTCTTCAGACACGGGTAATGACTATATATATATATATATATATATATATAACCTATCTATTTAATATTATAATTAAAAAATACTATTATTTAAAAATATAAATATTATAGAATCAAATATTTAGGATATTGCTAGTTATAAGATAGCTGGACTATTATATCAATCATCTTAGCAACACACGAACGTAGAGAGCAATTTCTTCGTCTTTGACACAAAAGAGTACCAAAAATCTCACGTGAAGTAGATCTTAAACACTCGTTTCATCACCCAAATCAACCAAACTTCGAAGCTTACAGTCCTTCTCTGTGATCTCTATCGTAGAGCTTCCAGATCATAGCATCATCACGTATTCCAACGCCATGGAACAAGTTATAGGACAATTCCAAGGTACTCTAAGCTTCACTTCAACCCAATCTCTCTCTCTCTTGCTCTCTTTCTTTGGTGTATCTCAAATTTGTTGGGTTTTCAAATTGTGGGTGATATGAATTTTACTGTTGTGAAATTGGGTTCGTTTTTAGTTTTCTTTGTTGTTCGTATTTGGGACATAATCAATCATTACATGTAAGTCAAATGTATGTTTAATTGTTCGTTTCAATTTCAATTTTTTGCCATATGAATGTACTAGGGGACACCTCGTGCGATGCATGGAATGAGATAATTAAATATTTAAAAAATCTAGAAAAAAGTATTTGGGGTTGGGAAGATTTCTTAAGCCCCTCTCATCCAAAAAATGTTTGTTTTATATATATAGATAGATAGATACGGTAAAAATCTCTCTTTTTGAATTGTGTAACTCTTGTAACAAAGGTGAGTGGTTAGCCTGATGATCACCGTTGTCATTGTTGGACCATAACGGAGGTGGATCCAGAATTTGCCCAAGGGGATGCAAAATGTGACTAGAAAAAATTCACAAGCTAATACAAAGAAATTTGTAAGTTTCAACACGAAGAAACATATGAAAATTCAATACTAAATTAATATATGAAATAACCAAACTAGTTTTTATTTAGCCTAAACAAAATCTGAATAAAAATAGGACTAAAAATACAATTTTTTTAAAAATTAGAGAGAGCCTATAAAGTCGGGGGTTTAAACCTCGTCGTCCCCCTCCTCTGTAATATTGTTTTGACCCCCCCAAAAAAAAAACTCTTAGCTTCAAATTGTGGAACCATTGAAGCAGTATGCTCATGTAATCAGCAGTTTTGGGAATAATTGGAGGAGTAGTTTGTTTACAATTCTGCCACTAATTTTATTCTGGTGGTTGATGATATGCAAGTATAATTGGACTTAGTAATTCCTTTTGTTTGTGGGACATTGTAACCGTGTCTGGTTTCTGGTGTTGTTTATGAGTGATTTATTTTGGCTGGTTTGTGTTCTTCGAATTACGGGCGGACAAATGGACCAAATTCCCTTCAAGGTTAATTCAGACCAATGAACCTAACCATTGGATAATTCCTTTACTATTATTGGGCTTCTTTGCTTGCATCCTGAACTTAAAAAGTTTTGTGCATGCTGCTGCAACCTGTAGTTAGTTCACTACATCGTGAATCTAGGGTTTTTTGAGTCATTGGCCTATTCTTTAATGCTACCAACTTAATTGATTAATACAGTTTTTGAGACAGGCTGTTGTCATACATCTTTGATAATCTTTCTCCTTATACAGGAAAGCAGTGGAGACAAAAACAAATTTGAAAGATAACGGACAAGGTTTTTGATCATTTCAAAAACGAAACTGGAAGGGCTAATTTGACATTTGAAGATCTATATATTGCTGTGCTACTTGTGTACAAGTAAGAAGTTTTACCCATTTAATGTGCTAGGTTTGTTTAAATACTGAAAACTTGTTAATCAATGATTTTTGATTGTTTCTGTCGACATAATATTCTTGAGAAGTCTATTTATGTTGTTGATGTAGTGATATCAACAATCGATTGCCTGGGCCTCATTTTGATCCACCCTCGAAGGAGCAAGTCAAAACTATGATGCTGGTATTTCTGATTATCTAATTTATTGCTTGAAGCCTTTAATAGTTCCAGCAGTTCAGGGTGATAGTACAATGATATAAGAAATAATGGGCATATTGTGATCTACTTTAGTTCTGGAATTGTCAAAGTGGTGCTGGTGGTTCCACCAAAAAAAGGACCAAAAGAAAGGAAAATAAAATAAAAGTATTGTAGAAAGAATATTTTTTGGAGCACATTTGCTGCTTATTGACATTTTTGTTGACAACCTTGAATTGCATTCATGTTGCCTAATTTCAAAAGTTGGAGTGGACATGTAATCAACCTCAGGAAACGAAACGAGTCCTTTTCTGGGTGTTTGAGCATAAAATGAAATTTCAGGCAGATGGACAGATATCACCATGAATATTGAAGGAAACTGACATAGTTTATATGCTACTTGGATCGTGAGTCTCTTTGATACATGGTACGTGTACGAGTATGTGGTACAACACTTTCTTAGGTACGCAGTACGATAGGCGTGGGCTTAGCTGGTACGTTATTTTGGGTCGCAATTCATTTTGGAGTTCTTATCTAGATTGTTTTCACTACTATATAACATTATATATTATAGAACATCTATAAAAACTATGTCAATTACTATTTATCTTACATTTGTGCTCGATTTTTTATTATCTAAAATAATAGATAATTATAAATTTATATATACGTAATCAATTAGTATGTATTTTATATTTGTGTTACATGTTCCAAATTGAATGATTTAGGGTTAGTATTATAATTTGGGATCGTACATTTTGGTAATCTAGATCGCGAACCCACCCCATTTGGGATCGATGTACCCAGATCGTAGGCTAAGGATTTAGTGAATTCTAGTAACTAACTTTATACAGTGCAAGATGCCATTGTGTCCCATTGATGTTCAACAAGACAAGTGGTGTTCCTTATGTGCTGTTAATAAGAGAACAGACAAATTATATCTAATGTACAACCCAATAGGCTGATTCTATGTCCACGATATGTCCAGATATTCATATGTTGCCACAGTATAGACATTGTTCTTGTGCATGTGTATTATCTTGGCAGTTTTACAGATAGGAACTTCACTATACCAAACTGAACACCCAAATTCTTCGTTACACCATTTCTGTTAACCTCATTTATAGTGTTTGTTAGAGAGTTTTGCTCGGTCCATATTTTTCTTTTGGTGACACAGGCAGAGTGATTTGTTAATTTGAATGAAGGCAAGGCTTCTGAGCTTTTTAGTTCATGACCATGAGGTCCTGTGGGATCAGTATATTCCATTCCATAGTTTCTGAACACATCTTATCGCTCTAAATATCTACAATGGAAGCAACCATACCTAGTGTTTGAGTTTTGTTCATTGAGATGTGGGCTGCCTTAGATTCAATTTGAATGCTTATACATCTGCTGAAGATACACTCAAGCTGTCTAAATGTTTAAAATGGAAGCAACCATGGTCCATGTGAAGAGTTTTTCCCTTCTTCATTTAGGTGCATACCGAGCTTGTGTTGGGGCTGCTGATAGCTCCCATGACTAGGGAAGACAACTATTTCCTCTTAATAGTTTGATTATCATTGCAGCTTACATTTCTACATAATTCACCGTCATGTTTGAGGCAGACTATCGTGCTACCTTTGTCCTTAAGACTTTAGAAATTCGGACTAGTGATTGATATGATGGTCATTTTTTATGCAGGATTGTGACTTAAACCTTGATGGAGAACTGGATTGTGAAGAATTTGTGCGGTTTATGCAACAGTTAACAGCAGATACATTCGTCATTGTTAGCCAGGGACTGATCATCACTTTGGCTGTAGCACCGACAGTTGCTCTGCTGACGAAGAGGTCAACAGAGGGTATTCCAGTCGTCGGGAAAGTGGTGCAGAAGTTGCCCAATTCAGTTTATGCATCCCTCGTGACCCTTGCAATTGTGCTGTTCCAGCAATCAGGCCAGGGTGTGGATTAGAAGCTTGTTCCCTTCCATTTGGGTTTCTCCACAGTGTACATAATAAGATAGCTTTATGATACATCGCATGCTAGCAACTCGAACATGTGGACCAGCTATTCGCCTCAGACATCAGGAAAGACATAAACTTCGATTGTAATAAGGAGATAAAACTCTATGTAAATTCGTGATGTATGCCATTCGTGTTTGATTGTCTATATCTGAAATTTTCTTTCAGGGGGTTGCAGTCACAGGAAGAAATAGCTTGAAAGCTGCTTTCACATGTTGATTGAGATTTTTCTCAACTGTCTTGGTGGTGGATAGTGTGACAAAGGATTGTCAGTTTTCAAAATGAGCTCAAGACTATTTTATATCTCGGTATTGGGTAAAGAAGCACGTTCTGGATCTTTGATAAAAAAACACTTGCTATCCGTGGAAAGACCAGGCTCGGGCTGAAGTACTACAACAAGTGAGCATTTCAATTTCTTTATCAGCAAATGATCAACCTTGTCAAGTAACCATTTTGAATGGGTGCACGAGATTAAGCGAAACTGACTTGATTTTAACTAAAAACCTAAGAGCATACGCACGAGATGACAAATATTGATGGCAGTAAGTCAAAGTGAGAATTCGGGGTCAAAATGCGATAGGGTCTTCAAGTTTCACACTTGATTCTCTCTCGAGATTCATGGGTCATCTTGAAAAGATCTTCGATCCGAACTTTCATATCTACTCTCTCTTAAAGGATGAACTATGCCTTCGCTATTGCTCTCCCTCCAAAAAAAATTTGACAGCATTTTCTGAAACTAATGGTGCCCTTTTTGAATCTTTATTGTGGCTGTGTTTTCAACCCGACCAGTTTGGGTTCTTCACTCATCAGTCTGTACATCATAGTAACTTCGTTGCAGCCAATTTTACACGCACAGCTCCTAAATTTCTGGAATAGAGTTCATATGCTAATGAAAAAATTAAATTTAGTGATGCCACATGGCTGGGTTGTGTCCAAGTTCATTCCATATAAGCAGAGATGGTATTATCTACCGTGGTCTTAAAACAAGTCAGCTTAACGGTATAAGCCTGCATGATTGTGAGACCAACTGGGAGCCCTCGCTCAACGGATCAAAGATATATCGGAATAACAGGCTGATAACTCTCAAAAGCTCTTATCGACAGAGTCAACGGTCTAAAATGGGTGTGCATCTATATAAGGTAAGACCCTTCTCTACCCGGGCAATGTGGGGAGGGTCTAAAATGAGTGTGTATCTATATAAGGTAAGACCCTTCTCTACTCGGGCAATGTGTGGAGGCCTATTGCACGTTGGCTCATTAGACTGTTGGCTACGACAATCACCATAAAGACTTATGAAGTACGGATATTCGTCGGATATGTATCGGATATATTTTTATGTATCTGATAATAATTAAATATTATGATACTTCATGAATACTTTTATGGTCGAGCAACATATATAATTTTTTAGTTGAATATTTAACTTCTCTTTTTGAATTCACATATTATACTATACATTAACAAAAATTCATATTACTTCAAAGACACATGAGTATTTCTTAAATATTATTTACAATTACATGTTAAAAGAGCATAAAATAAAATTATTACATTATAATCTTATAAAAAATTACTTCTAAATACTAAATAAATATTAATTTTGATTCCTTTAATTAGTCACTTCACTTTGTGAATATACCATAGTGATACGATATACAATTTCTTGAAACTAAAAAGAATTACAAATTTTCCTTATGGTGTGTTAAAAAACTACCTAAATATATAAGTATTAAGTTGGTTGAAAATAATAAAAATATTAAATATATTTTATTATAGCCGTATATTGACCGTGCCCATATCTTACTTTTTTTGATTTTATCGTATCGCTGTATCTGTATCGTATCCGTATCCGTATCCGTACTTCATAGATACAGACTAACTGCTCCAAATGGGTAAATAGAAGAACCATCTACAAAAGCTGTGAAATTCACTGGCAGTGTATCTGGACATTTTCTCGGGGGATATCTCTACCTGTCTAAAAATACAAGTTGGGCTGCCTCAAAACCAGACATTTCAAACACTATAACTGAAAATACAAGTTGGGCAGCCTCAAAACCAGACATTTCAAACACTATAACTGTAAAGTCAAAGATTGACATGCAGAATCATACGAAAACGGAGAAGGTGCTGTGAATATTATGTTGTAAATCATGGACTGCTCCCAACCTTATGTGGTTTGTGTGAACACTTAACCAGATACTATGAAAGAAAAATATATTGAACTGTACCAGATAATGAACAAAAGCCAAGACAAGCACTACTCATCCATACTAGCCAGTTGAAGACAACGAACGTATAACTGATTTTGCATTAAAAGCATTAATTCATAACTGGGATTTCTTTTTGACAATACAAGAAAGCAAACCATGCCCAGGGGTGTCTGGGAAGATGTCTTCCCAGTGATTCTAATTGTGAATCCTACTTATCATCCTGGCGTCGAGCTATTTTTCTACAGAACCTACCCTACAGTATCGTCACTATAGTAGAGTTTAACCACCAAGTTCAGGATAGAGTGGTGTGGTTTCTTTACGCCGAACCATGAACCATGAAAGGCATGAGAGAAAAGCAACACAAAGTCAACTATCATGGAGCATTCATGTGTATAAGCCAGTATCCTGCTGAATTCTTTGCCTGGCATTAGAAGCTCCGATCCTATTTGTGGAAAACGAACTATGAAAAGCATATTTGTGAAACGTGATGCCATCGGGGTTTTTTTAACCTGTTTGCATATGAAAAGTGATTATAAACCAGATTACCGAAAAATCTACTCAAGAATTTACAATCTCCAAATCCACATACAAGCTGATTCAAATGAAATCCTCAAGGAGTATATGTACAACACAGAACAGCAAACACATATCAAAGGTAAGAGGTCTCTTTCACGTGTTCCCCATAACTAGATACCAACAAATACCATGGGCAAACTATGAAGTAGGCCTAGTATATCAAGATGAATTCAACTTTTGTAACTTAGCTTTGGCAGTATCGATTTTTCCTGTCCAATAGTCACCAAGAACAAAAGAGAAGAAAAATATATTCCTAGGGTGAATAGCATGAAAAAGAAAGAGGAAACTTTGGCACACACTAAAGGGACTTCTTACTCTGTTCAAAGGCTGTTGCTTTCTGCACAGTTGTACGGAAAAATATATTCCCGTTTATCTGATAGACCACCTGTGGCCAAGTAACAAAATTATTTCTTTGTAATCAAAAGCAACTGCATCAATATTGAAGTACTAAAACACTCTACATATCAATTGTAGCAAAAATTACTATATAATGGACAAAACTGTAGATTTGGGGAAGTGATCCTTTTCGCTATAGGCTCGCATCTAAAATGACATTAGCAATATTTGAATAAATAACACTACTAATTAATCATATGGCAACGTTAAATTCCACAGCTTCTTCCCAACATTCGTGCTATGCATGCATAACCACATGCAGGGGAGTGCCACATGTCACCTGCTCAAATAACCAGTGCTTTCCAATTTATCAGAAAGCCTAGTAAAACTGAAGGTCATGTGTGCGCATGAGCGTGTGTGTGTGTGTGTGTGAGAGAGAGAGAGAGAGAGAGATTAGAGAAGGCTGACTAATTGACAATGCAGTCTCTCCACTCCGTCTTTTTCTTCTCTCTCTCCTTGCCAAGCAAATTAAAGGGAACTTCATAATGTTTATATATATGGTCAGCCATTCAATTTGCATACAACACCTCCCCCCCCAACTAGTATGGCATGCAACACCACCACCCCCAAATAGTATGACATACAGTAGTCAACAGTTCATTTGTCTTGGCATTGTGAAGCATTCAAATGTAAAATAGTTCATAAACTGCCACAAGGCATTATCGTATTAACACGTACCATGAACAATCAAGCTGAAGGTTTGCAACAAACTAAGAAGCTATGAAAATATAGCTAACATCCACCTGACTTCAAAAACTCATTAACTAAATAGTCAAATCCTACAAAGGCAGAATCCTCACCCACTCTACATCATGATAGTCAATCTCCTTCCACAACATACGTATATATGGACGAGAACCATATTCCTTCTTATTTAGGAAAGTTTCCCCCATTCAATGAAGATATTAACCGCAATTGTTGGTAAAAAAAGCATGTGTCCAAAGGAAGTGAATTTTAATCATTAAATGAGGATGAAAGGTGGCAATGCTCAACACATAAATTTTGGAATTCTAGTATCATTGATACACCCTCTCCCTGCCCAAGGGGAGTTAATATGCCCAATGTCTGCTCCCGAGCAAGATTTCATCTTCCTTTTAGTGAGATTATTTCAATTCTAGTCAATCATAATATAAATGAAACAAGCCATTCGACAAGGATATTCTGATGTATATTGTTTCAAATATCACTCCTGAGTTACAATGTATTGCATCTATACAAAGAAAAAAATAATATTTCCTCATATGACATCCATTCCATTGTGTGTGTGTGTGTGTGTTGCAAAAGAGGATGACTGGCTGAACATAAGTTAAATAATGGGGTATCTCCCTCCCACACCATAAAGCCCTCTGACCCAGATGGGGGCGGAATTCAGCCCAGGTTCTATGGTACACCTACCAAAAGACTGCCAGTTAAACTAATCTGACTTATCAATCCATGCTGCGTGAAATGTGAACAACATCGGTCTTGTCAGAAAATTCTAATCTTGCTCCAAGAGGACCTTTAGTTCACTGCTATTTATTTACTTTACTTATCAATTCTATACTGCATGCAACGTGAACAAACATTAATCTTATCAGGAACTTGTAATCTTACTCCAATTTCGACCTTTAGCATCAATTCAATTCAAAGATCAAATATCGTCTCGGCGCATTACGTTTCAAAAATATAATGGAAACAAATAAAAAATTTGAGAATTTATTTTTAAAATATTTCAAATCATTGGTCTAAATATCTCAAAATACCTTGAAATATTTCAAAACATTAATAAACATCTTGAAACAACTCGAATCATATGAAATACCTCGAAACAACTCGAACCATTAAAATTTTGAATCAATCTCTGATCTGTTTTAGTCTTCTTTTCTTAGAAATAGAAACGTTTCGGTCGTTTAAAAATGATATTTTATCCTTGATTCAATTCATATTTACATATTCTACCCTAAACCACAGTGGAAAAAAAATGAATATTTGCCCTGACCAGCACACATTGGCTAGAGAGCCTCAATGTCTCACCTAATATTAATACAATCTGAATTAATAAATTCCCTAATGATACAAGTTAGATTCATAATTGACAAATCAACTAAAAATCCATGCATAAGGATGTAATATCTATGTGGGCATGTGTACTGCATGATTACATAAGTAAAATTTAGGCACACAAACATTGACAGACATTATAACAGGAAAAGAAAGGGGCTTTGGAAGTTAATTTACGCACCCTAGAGGAAGGAAGATTATTGAGCTCCGCTAATGCAAACTCGTGGCTCCTTATCTGGGTTAGTACAACCCAACTCCAATTTCATCAGCAGCATAATCTAATAAAAATATTCACAGAGAGAGAGAGAGAGAGAGAGAGTTGGAACCTGCTTTATGAGATCCCGGTCAGAGTCTGAGGCAGTGGAGGCCTGCGATGGAGACGAAGGTGATGTTGCTGCCATCTCTCGTTCTCCCTCTCTCTTAAATTGGGCAGTGGGAAGAGAATTGCGTTTGTTATAATACCACAATCTCTTTTTTAAGGCAGACGGGTTATTTTTCCGGGCAAATTTCACTTTGTACCCTAAAAAATTATAAATGTTTTAGTTTATACTATTAAAGATTAAATTTATTAACATTATATCTTCAATATATCAAAAAGATTCCGATGTGATCCTTTCGTTAATTTTTTTATCAATGTCAATGGGTAGATTTTTGACTAAAAAAATAAAAAAATTTAATAGAAATGTCACATTGTAATATTTTTTATTTTTAAGTGTATAAAGTAAAAAATTTTAAATCTTTCAAGGTACAAAATCCAAAAAATTCTATTTTTTCATATGGTTTCGATAATTTTAATTTTGGGTTAATCTCATTTTGTACTCCGAAAGATTGTTCGAATCTCAATTTACACCCTCAAAGATCAAAAATCTCAATTTACACCCTCAAATATAGAATTTTGTATCAATGTGCACCCCCAAAGATCAAAAATTTCAATTTACACCCTCAAAGATAGGAATTTATATCAATGTGTACCCCAAAGATAAAAAATCTCAATTTACACCCTCAAAGATAGAAATTTGTATCCATGTGCACCTAAAATTAAATTAATAAATTATACCTAAATCCCTTCATGTTTGTCACTTAATCATTTGAACTCTTTCACATTTAGAATATTCCCCTTACATCTCATGACATTTATGCATGTGTAACACATAACCACTTTTCGTTGATATATATTAATATAACCGTTAAAAAATATAATTTTATCCTAATAAAAAATTATAATTTCATATTACCCTTTATTTTATAGGTTCAATATACTATAAAGTTCAAAATCTAGTTTACCATTTGAATATCTAATAAAATATAAATATTTATATAATATTTTTCATATTACGTTTTATATAAATATCTACATTTTATTAGACATTCAAATGGTAAGCTTTATTTTTAACTTTAGAGTATATCGAATCCACAAAATAAAAGGTAATATAAAATTATAATTTTATATTAGGATAAAATCATATTTTTTAACGATTATATTAATATATATATCAACGAAAAGTGGTTATGTGTTACACATGTATAAACGTCATGAGATGTAAGAGGAATATTCTAAATGTGAAGGAGTTCAAATGATTAAGTGACAAACATGAAGGGATCAAGGTATAATTTATTAATTTAATTTTAGGTGCACATAGATACAAATTTCTATCTTTGACGGTGCAAATTAAGATTTTTTATCTTTGGGGATGCACATTGATACAAATTTCTATCTTTGAGGGTGTAAATTGAGATTTTTGATCTTTGGGAGTGCACATTGATACAAATTTTTATCTTTGAGTGTGTAAATTGAGATTTTTGATCTTTGAGGGTGCAAATTGAGATTCGAACAATCTTTCGGGGTGCAAAATGAAATTAACCCTTTAATTTTTTATGATTAATAGCACTTTTAATCTCCAAAATATACATTTTCTATCAATTTGATTCTCATTGTATCAATATCATTAATTAGGTTTCTAAAGTATTCAGTTTGGTTTAAATAGATCCTACATATACGGACAATTAAAAAACTTAGTTGACAGTTCGATTAGGGAGTATTTAAATATGAATTAAATATTTTAGGGATTAAATTGATAAAATTCATATATTGAAGACTAATTTGACAAAATACACATACTTTAATTATATTATAATTGAATGAGGTAGTTTGGATCAATTTAATTTTTTTATTATAACTTAAATTCAAAAAATTGTATTTTAACTAAAATATAGTTAATTTTGGTACCATGTCTAATTCGATAACAAAGTCATCTGTTTTCACATTGAATGAATTGCATTTTTCCCACCCTATGTTTCATTTTCTTCACTGAAGTGTAGTGTAGATGCGACTGTAGGTTGGTTTACTAGACTTTTCTTTTTGGCTTGACGAGAATCCAGTCCAGGGTTGATATCGAAGAGATTGTTTCGTTATGATTTATATGTTATGATTCTGAGTTATAAAAATAGACAAAACATTATAAACAGTACACAATTAATTCGAGTGGTGCATTAAACTGACCTTTTATTGAAGGACTGTTTATAATGTTTTGTTAAGTTTACCGTTATTTTAAAAATTGCTCAATTTACGACTTACTGGTTGAATTCACTTCTGAAAATTCATGATCCTTCTTGAGAGAATAAAGAAAAATATAATAAGTAAATGTACATAAATTTGGATGACTAAGCTACATTTGGGGAAATTCAAGTAGGATTCTATGTGGTAAAAAAGTGGAATTCAAACCCAATTTTTTGTCCTGACCAAAAAAAAAAAAAAACCCAAATTTTGTAACTCTAAAAAAAATTATTAGGGCAAATTTCAATTTAAAAAACATATTATTTTACACCCTCAGAGTAAATGTCTCATATTACGCCTTCAATGTATTAAAAGTATTGTAATATAATATTTATTTTAGTTTTTGTTATTCATTCTGTCAACATCAATAGAATAATTTCTGACAAAATAAATAATTCAAGTCAAGGAAATGTTATATTACTAACACTTTTAATACATTAACAATATAATGTACAAAATCCAATCTTTAAAGGTATGAAGTAAAAAAATCTTAAAATCTTTCGGACTGCAAAATAAAATCCTCTCAAATTATTAATCTATTTTTTCTTCTCTTTGTGGGTAGTATTTGCATTTTTTAATTTGGATGTAACATAATCATTAGTAAAATGACAAATGCTCATTGGACCATGCAACAAGTGAGCCTTACCATAAAAATGGGTCCAAACCAAGGGATTAAGTGACAAGGTAACAAGTGCACCCATTGGTTTGAAATCACTCCAACACCACCAATTTTAAAGGTTATTTTTTTTTATTTTTGGAAAGTAATTTTTATAGATTTTTTTTTTTAACTAAAGAAGTAAATTATATATTCAAAACATACATATGCCTTCGGAAAAATATTTTTTTTTCCATCTCAATAACAGCATTCATTTTGATATTTTTAGCCCAGGGAACGAGGAACGAACGTTTTTTATGAAGATAACATAACAATGCAAAACAGAGATACATCTTGCAAATACATTCATAAGGGCAATCACTTTAGATACACTAAATGTCGAATGACCCTTTGACACCATCCAGACTCTCTCCTAGTGATAATCTGCCAGTACAAACAACAATAGAAGTTGGTTATTTAAATGTATAGTGAAAAGAAAAAAAAATAGGGAAGAAAAGAAACCTGCATGGACATACCAAATAGACCAAACATGTATGAGAAGATGAAGGCAGACTAGAAAAGCTAAAGATGGAGGCAAACTATAAACCCAAAAAAAAGAAAGAGAAAATAAAGCCACTAGTGTAGAGGTTTCCACTCTCATTTACAAAAGCATCACAATTTTATTATAAATTTAAAGACAATTACTCAGCTCAAGAAAGTCTTTGTTAGGATGGAACTTCGTGTCCTTAACAATCAGTCTCAAGAGGAAACCCCAAAATCAAATCCCCCCCCCCCCCCCTTTTTCTCCTTCCTTTACACCTGAATTCCTACACTGACAATGATGGAGAAAAAGTTTCAAAACACTTGCACATGAGACATCATTTTGGAGTTGTTCACATAACAATTAAGAATCAAACATATATGCAATAGAAAAAGCATTATTCTTAAACTAAGCATGATCATTAGACATCCATGCTTGAACGTGAAGAGACAAACACAACAAACATGACATAACACCAACGTATTAACTAAACACATACCATACTAACAGAATACTAAATGAAAGGTGTAACCAGCATACAGGATGACATGCGATAACCTCCCAAAACACCAGGGCTGTGATCTCATGTTAAAATATCTAATCCAAAACCAGTTGGGTATAAGTCAGATCCACAATGTTACTCTAGAAGGTTATCTCCACTAGCAATGAGACAACCTCTAACACAGTATATATATCCTCTTCGGCCAAGATTTAAAAAAAATCAAATTTATGTGCTAATCATGTGTTGCCAGCACTAGGATAGCCAGTTTTCCTTCTTATCCTCATCAAAGTGTCAGCATCAGAGTACTTTCATGCCAAATATGCCAAAAAAAAACCAGGGAAAAGGATCTCAAGCAGTACCCCTCTAAACTAAGAACCCTCCTATGAAACCCCAACTCGATGATATAATGGTAATTCCCCAATTAAGTTCCTGATAACTGAGGTTGCAAGGAGGGGCAGATGATGTACACACCAAACAGTCAATATTTGAACAGAATTGTTATTTGAGATATTGCTACAATTCATGAAAAGTTACATGTAAAATACAAACTGAGGCAAGTTGAGGGAAACTCGTCTAGATTACTTTATCCTAGGTGGTTATACTTAAATAAGACTGGTGAATGCACCAGTTCACAGCAATGAAAAAGGAACAAAGGAAGGCACGTGACCATGGATTGTGGCAATGAGAAAAGAAATAAGAACACCACAAATTCATCCCCATATTAGGAACAAAAGGCTAGAAGGATTAGTGCAGCCAACCCAACCCAAAGTAGTTGATTAATTTCACTTTCAGTACCAATCAAAGAAAGATTTGTCAAATTAGCCTGGCAGCTCTCTTCTACATAATGAAAACAACTCAAAGTGAGAGAGAGCAGACAAAAGAGAAGAATAAGTGATATTAAAAGTGAGAAGCCAACACTAGAAAGGCCATCAAGTCACCAACTATACATCCGCAGATATTCAAACACAAGATCCAAATGAAGCTATAATTGTCACCTATTAGAGCCTAGTACAGACGTGACTGACCCATGGTAGCTTTGGGTCAATGTGGAATTGTGGATGTCTGACAAGGAATGATGTGGCATCAAGGAGAATTCAGAGACAATACTCGAATGAGGTATCTTGCAGGAGTTGCCGAAGCAATTTGGGCTGAAAGTTCATTAGAACATGAAATCAATAATAATTCTGGCTCATGCAAGACACCTTCCCAGGATTGGTCTCATGATTTCTAAGCCTAAAGTGTATTGCAACTTAAGAATTGAGTTTATCTAAACCCAAATGCAGTCAAATCTGTTGCTCACTAGGCTGCCTGTATGCAAAGGCAAGAGTTGCTTGCCTCATACACAAGAACCCCGTAGATTAAAAATATAGGTATATTGTAATCAGTGAATAATAGTTTAATACAGTAAATGGAAATAGATAAATATGACAAAATAGAATGCGGCTAGATCATAAGTAATGCAGCAATCAACAATGCTCATTCCTCAATGAAGCAGCCCAAGCAAGAGGTTCTATACTGGGTTGCTAGCACTTCGTAATTGTCTCCCAAAAGAAATATTTCTGACCCATCGCCTCTCCAGAAAAGCACATTTAACAGGTTGCCTCTTCCTCTTGATCAAAAATACTAGTGAGAGTACCTATTGCTGAACTGGGGCAAAGAAGAAAATGTGACGATCTACTGTAGTGGCTTGCAGAACCTTGCTCTAAAGAAAGTCCTAGCTGGCCCCCACCTGTCACAGCAAGGTCTATTGTCTGGTTTCCAATATGTGCAGCCCCAGACAAAGTAGCAATTGCATACATCCATTATTAGTGGCTCTACCAGTAGGTTAATGGTACTTATAACAGACTGCACTCAAGCTGTTTATGAGCAGTCTGGTTCATTCAGTAGTCCTAGTTACAATAGCAAAGTCTAAGACGGCAGCCGAACTCAACAAAAGTCATGCACAGTTACTAAGAGCCGATTAGCTGACTTCTTGTTGACCTCCATATTCACCATCTTAGTGTGGTGAGGCCATGAGGGTAATAGCTCGTGTTAACTAAAACTAATAGGCAACAATCTCGTGGCAAACATCCAATACTTGCATAGATATTTTCCTTCCCTTTCATCATTAACACTTCAAACTGAAGCCATAGATCTAATTAACTCCTTCCTTGTACAGCCACTAGGTTTCAATACGCAAGACTGAATCATCTAGTTGGCTTTCTAAAATCTTGTCCCTTGATTGCTTTGTTAGGATCAAACAAAAATCATTCCTGCAATTTTGCTCCTATCTCTTGCCACTAACCATGTAATGAGTACAAACTTCAGCAGTCCTTGTTATATCGACAAATTGTAAGTGTGATATATTTGGTGTGGTAAAAGCATGGCAGCAGTATCATTATCTTACTAAATTTTTGGTCAACATGCATTTACCAACTAGACTACAGTCAGCATCTCCAAGCACCAGCTTCCCAAGCCCCAAAAAATTATTCATCAAATGCCAATATACAAAATACCCTTTTTTTTCTACGCTTAAAAATGGTATGTCGAATCTCTGTTGGATATCTACAATCAACAGTCTTTTGTTGCTGTATTTGGTCATTCTGAAAGTTCAACATTGTTACCCTCTACAGCCACTGTACTTCGAGAGAAACAACATATCCATCCCAGTAAAGAACAATCAAATAAAGCTTATAATCATGATAAGGGAACACTCCCAACATGGTCAATATATCATCTCACAATTCATTGGCATCAAGTTTAATGACAATAACATAAAGCATTAACTTAGGAACACAATGCCATATCTTCAAATATCATAACTTTACCTGTGCATACAGTACTTGTACTCTTGATTCCTTGTATAATCTTTCTCTCCTTCTTCCAACTATTAACAAAACACAACCAGTCCACAAATTCAGGATCATTAAAATACATGGTATAAACGGGAGAAAAACATTAGTTCATCAGTCCCTCACCGGATCACTCTCGTAAATCAGCTCATAACAACCCGGTGATAGGCATTTTAAAGCGCAGTTCTCCTTTGCTACTGTTGAAGACTTGCATTGCCTACCCCACAATCCACTTTCCAATACAATTGCACCCACAAAACAGCAATAAGATACAAGTAATCATATATATAAATCAATTTATCAATACAAACAAATCCCCACATATAAACACAAACCTATGACTCAGGATATTTATCACCAAGGAAATTCAGATTAGAATTCAAATATTTTCTTTCCAACTCAATGGTTGTAATTATAACGAAAGATATCGAAGATCAGAGAAATTATTAAAAATCCCAAAAAAAAATTCCAGAATTTTCTCAGGAAACAAACAAAATTATGAAAAAAGATCATACCTTTCAATGTCTGCATAGCATTGGTTTTTCATTTCTCGAACTTCACTGTCCTTTAATATTTCCCAAAAGGAAACAAAACCCTAAACTTTAGAGAGAGATTGAAAAGAAAAACTCGATTAAAATTCATGGAAATTTGAAAGCTTACAGAGATTGGGATGCGAGATTTTTTTGCGAGGACTTCATTAGAACACAAAAGAATTGCCCAGAACATGAACAACATTGATTTGTAGAAATTACTCATCACCGAACAACAATAGATTATCAAATAAATTCTTTTTTCCTTTTACTTTTTTCTGCCTGATGAATCTGATTCCGTCTCGTAGTTCGATCAAGCACCCTCCTCCTTCGTAGCTCTGTTCGAACCGTTTTGTAATTGGATTGATTTGGTAATCAATTTAATTCATACAATTAAATTAAAAATATAGTATATCTTTATTTTAAGAAAACAATTGAATGGAAAAAATCTGTGATTCCCGATATAAAGTTATTATTAAATTAGTTGTAAATTTTAATATTATATTTAATAACTAATTATTCTCCGTGTCTGAAGACACGAAATAACAAAAAAATTGTTAACATATTCGTATTCATACCTAAAATCAAATTACAAATATAAATGAGAGATAAAAAAATTTAAACACCGATTGTAATGGGAGTTAGCGGTGGTAGTGTGGTGGGTGACAATGGTGATGGTGGGTAAGGTGACGATCGTGGTGGTGGTAGTATTCGTGGGTGGTAATGATGGTGGTGGTGGTGAGTTTTGAGTGACGATAATAGTAGTGACAATTGTGGGTGACAACGATGGCGGTGAGTGTGGGTGGTGGTGGGACGACAACGGTGGTGGTGGGTGGTGGCGAATGACAGTGGTGATAAGTGTGGTGGGGGTAGGTGACAGTGGGTGGCTGCAGTGGTGGGGTAGGTAACAGTGACTGGTGGCGATGGTGGGTGGTGATAGGTGTTGACGGTGGGAGACAGTGGTAGTGGGATGATGGTGGTAATGGTAATAAATATAAAAATAAGATGATGATGGTAGTAATGGGTGGTGGCCATGGACGACGATGGTAGCAATTGGTGGAGGGTGGCCATGGTGGTTGTGGTGGCGGTGGTGCAACAATGGTGGGGGTGGAGGTATGGCAGTGGTGATGGTGAAGGTGGTAGGGGTGATGGTGGGACAATAGCAGTGGTGGTAAGGTGCAACAACGCTGGTGAGGATGGTAGGGTGCGACTGCAGTGATGGTGGGGATGGTGGTGAATGGGCGGTGGAAGTGGTGGTGGTGGTGGTAGGGGTAATGATGATAGTGTGGTAGTGGTGGCCAATGGTGGTGGGGCAATGAAAATGGTGATGGTGGTGGCAGGGGCGGTGGTGGTGGTGGTGGGGTAGTGAGTATGGTAGAGTAGCGATAGTGATGGTGGCGGCGACGATGGTGGTTTTGTGGTGGGCGAGGTAGAGGTGGTGGTGGCAGTGGTGATGGTGGTGGAGTGGTAGGGGTGGTGGTGGTAGAGGTAATGGTGGAGCAATTTCAAACACTATTTTTTTTTAAGTACGTATGAGAAATAATTCTTAGAAATATTTTTAAAAAGTCATTTCAAACACACCTTTAGTGACCTATTTTTATATTAAATTTGAGGTGTTAATATTAGCCGTTAAATTAATTTTAAAGTAAAATTTAAAGCGATCTCAACCGCTAATAGTAAAAGTCATTTTGTTTATCTTTTAAAATTTGAATTGTATTGTACTTTATTATATAGATAATAAAAAGCAACATCATGAATAAATAAAAAGATATCTGGATAACTGGGTCGTAAAAGGGCCAATGGACACGGTTTATGTTCACGCACATTTAAAAATGGGTATTTTAGAAGCCGGTACACCAAATTAAACATAATTGTATAAAAGTACAAAGAACAAAATATTTTGGAAAAAAAGTATGCAGCTGAGATACAAATACGTAAATAACTATTTTGTAAAATTTTTTTTCCTAAAAACTGTAACGAAACATTTATCTTAATCGTTGAAATTTATGGTCATTTAATTCAAAATCTTTTATTTTTAATGAACCTTGATTCATGCATTTTTTTTTTGGAAAGTGGTTTTGCTTTCAAATTATATTTATACATTAAATATTTACTACTACTTGTTTTATAGGAGAATTTTAATATTCCGTTTATTTTAGAATATATCACTTGTTTGAATTTTAAAATTTGTTAATATCCGAACTCCATAATAATGTAACAAAAACAGTGTAACAATACACTGTAACAAAAAAAATGTTAAGTAATTTTGTGCATGTGGTAACAAATTCAAAACAGAGATAAACTGATTTGAATGAAATTATATGAAAATATGTTTGACAAAATGTAATTGTACAATATTTTATATAAATGTCTTATTATACCGTTATTGTTACACTGTTATGGAGTTCGGATATTAATATAATTTGAAAACAAAATCACTTTTCAAAAAAAAAAAACGCATGAATCAAGGTGCATTAAATATAATTTGAAAAAAAAAATCACTTTCCAAAAAAAATATGCAAGAATCAAGAGAGGACATACAAATACAGAATATTAAAGTTCTCCCATAAAATTAGGAGATGTTTAATTTACCACTTTTCCAAAAAATTACGCATAGATCAAGGGAGGACAAAAATGACATAAAAAAATCTGAAAATTTCAAATAATATACTTAGAAACAAATAAATATTAAAATTAAGGACTTTTTTACCCTACATTTTTTTTTCTGTGTATTTTTTTACAATTAACTCTAATTTAGTGTACCCCCTTCCAATTTCCCTTTTAAAAAGATACAGGTGGTCCAAGAATGACCTTAGATACTAGTGTCTAGGCCTCACGAGGAGAATTAGCATTTCTAACTCAAGACAAATAGTGGGGCCTCGCTCATGAGTGAGTTGATGGAATGGGAGGTTGTTCCTTAAGCAAAACAATCTCACAACAGGCTTTTCTAGAGATGTGGAGGACCGCAACACATTTAAGCTAGAAGATAGATCACAAGGCCACCTCAACATGTTTTAGAAGGTCATGTCACACTTAGGGAATGCAATTTCTAACGGCGCAATATTCCTTTAACAAAATCTTAACAAACTTGGAGACCATGTAATGATAATATAAAGATCACTCCATCTGTGGCTATAAATACAAAGGTTTCTTCACGTAAAAGCATTAAAAAAATTACAACGCTATCTTCTTCTACAAGCAATACACAATTTTTTCAAAAAATAAGAGACTTTATTAGAGTGAATTAGCCAAACTTACTCTTCTTAACTCGTACTATAATCATTGATTTTATTGTAGTATTTGGTAGAGCTATCAAGCTCCATCTACAATCATCTTCTTTTTCACTAATTCACTTGCACACTACCACTTATAAGCCTTAAGCTCTTCAACTTAAAGCATCATCTCACATTTTGAGTCCATACATCATCAATATAAAATCTATTTTCAATTTAATAACTGTATTGGATTGGATTGAATATCCTCCTAATTCGAGGAACCAAACTAGTCCTTCTTTGGTTAGAGCCTAGACATAAAAATAGGAGAATATATTTGATGGTTATAAAGTATCATGTGACACTATCATGTGATGTCTAACCCAATTATAAATTGTCGCAATACCTGTTTGTTAAACTCACAAGTGATTTTTTTTAAAAAAAATCTGACAATTTAACATTAACCTAAATTATTTTTTTTTTTATCAAAAACGTAAATTAATTGGGAATGTACAATCTATTTAATAAAATACATAGAAACTTAAATTTTTATCTTCTACATATTTTTCTTCCAAAAACATCACATCACTCATTTTTATTTCTTTTTCAATCATTTAATATTTGATTAATTATAGTTTAATACAATTTTTATTTCAGACATTGTACATACATGATAATGTACACATATTGAAAAAATTTTGTTAGATTATATATTTTAAGAAAATTTTGTAGATATTTTTTTAAAAAACAATGAGTAGAAATTAACTTTAGATGATGTAATCAAAAAAAAGAAGAAAAGAAAAATTACTATTTGATATAATGTGATCAATTTTTTGGATATTAAAATCTTATGTTTCATCATACCTTTAAACACGAGGTATGACTATTACTATATAAATGATATTTGATACTATCGTGTGTTATTTGGTGAGCACACAATATTTTCTCCCGAAAAGGAGCTTAAAAAGGGAAAATTTCAATTTATTTGTACTTTGCCCTATAACTTTAGGAAATAACCATATGGCCCTTTTTGAATTTATTCAACTTTCACTCCTATTGAAATTAAAAATGTTTTTACTTGTATTTAATTTCGAGAATTAATATGTAAATTTAATCCATTGCTGAGAGCAATGCTAAATTTTCAACTCAACAAAACTTTGTCTCAACGTTTTTTGGGTCAGCTACATAAATCATGTTCTGTTATTAAGTTTTATCAAGGGCAATGTTTTCAATTATACTATAAGTTATCATATTTTTTTTACAATTTCATTTAAAGTTAATTTTGGTATTCCTTTACCCCTACATTTACCTTCAATAGCTATCATATCATTTTTTCTCACTGGTGGCATAGGAAGTCGTCTATAAATATATCCAAACTACCTAAGTCGATTCTTCCTTAATTTATCTCTTATTTGTGCTACTTCTACTTTTTCTCGGATATATTCGTTCCTAATTTTATCATTCCTGGTCTTACCACACACTCATCTTAACATTCTCATTTATGCCACACACAACATTTGAACATGTTGTTTCTTAGTTATCCAACACTCAGTATCGTAAAGCATAGTAGGCCTTATAGGTGTTCTATATAATTTTTCTTTTAATTTAAGCGGTTTACTTCTATCACACAATAGGTCAGATGCGTTCCTCTATTTTGTCCATCCAGCATTAATTCTATGCCTCACATCGTTGTCAGTCTCATACTCTCTATGAATAAAAGACCTTAAATATTTAAAATGTTCACTTTTTGGTATCTCTCGATCTTCAATTTTCACTACTTCTTAATTTCGATTTATTCTATAACTAAAATTAAATTCCATATACTTATTTTTAGTCCTACTTATCCTAAATCCTTTTTATTCTAAGATTCTCGCCAACTTTTTAGTTTATTATTAATTTTTTGTTTATTTTCATCAACTAGTATAATATCATCCGCAAATAATATATACAATGAGAGCTCATCCTAAATGTACCTAGTCAATTCATCCATAGTCAACGCGAAAAGATAAGGACTTAAAGCAGAATCCTAATGTAAATCTACAGTAATTAGAAATTTCTTAGTCTCTTCTGCCGTTGTTCTCACTAAAGTCACTGCATCTTCATACATATCCTTAATAACATCAATCTACTAATGTCAATGCTAAATTATACCTCAAATTAATTTTAAACAGTATTTTCCTTATATTGGTATTGAACCCTTCTAATGCTAGGACTTACTACTAATTTCAATGTTAATAGTGTATTTAGTACCCAAATTAAATCTTAATAATATTAGTCTAAATTAAAAACATCTTAAACAACACTGTACACTTACTAGCCCATGTCAAAAAAAAAAATTATTTGATGATGCACAAATTGGTAATACGCAAGATCAATAGTCAAGTATATGAACGGGCGTAATTAATGAGCAATAAACAAGCTATCAATTGCAGTAACGTAAATATGGAGCCCACAAAAAGATTTATAGTGGTTTGGTCCGGGTGACCTACTCCATTTTCGGGAACGACAGCGGTGGCCGAAGGTGTTTTATTGATGAATGATGTAACCGGAAGAGTAACTCTGGGTGTGTTACAATGCTTTTGGGAGAGAGAGAGAGAACAATGTGTGTAGGAAGGTGTAGTGTATGTAGGGATCTCAAGGTCCTGAGGTCATGCCCTCCATATGGATAGGGCTTACATTATATAGGCTTAGTAAGGCAGTGAGGCGGTGACATGAAGGAGATGACTTCTAATATTTTGGTAAGTACAGTTATGGTAGGAGATCTCTGTGCCTATCCTGATATTTTCTTCCTCGTGCTCCTATTCCTTCGAAGGAGGATCCTGAGATGGATTGGACTTGAGCCTAAGCCTGGACTTAAGTTGGAATAGGTTGGACTTGCATTGGAGTGAAGAAGGAGCAAAAGGAAAGGGGGGCTAGATCATGGGCGGCGCCCCTTTATCCCTTGTTGGGCATTGGCTTCATGACTCCCTTGTTGGCTTCCCTCTTGATGGGTTGACCCAGCTCTATTTGGGCTCCTTTCTGGATACTGAATATTTGGGTCTCTCTTGGTTTATTTTCATTGGGCATGACCCAGTTAATTTTGGGCTCATAATTTGCCCCTATGCCCCAAGCCTTTGACTTTTTTGCGAGAAGAAATGGTTGAGGGCATGTGCTTCATTTTTATTTGAGTGGGGAGGAATTTTCTTGCTTCCCATAGTACATCTTCGTCTTCAATGACTCTGTTGAGTTTACCGATATTGGATTTTATTTTTTTTTTTGGGCTTGGGCGTTGGCCTCCTTCTTTTATTAAGCCTGGCAAATTTTTGGTTTATTGCACCGGCATGAACTGAAGAGTAGTTTTTCTCCCCGGTATCTGGGTATGTCTTATTCCACATGATAGGTGGCATTAAAAAAAGCCACTTCTAGTCAATAAGATGGAATGAATGGCAAGGGCATACAGTCAAGTAATGACAAATAATCATTTAGAATCTTTTCCTTTTTTGTGGCCCACATGTAATACCACGTTCCAGCCAAACATAGTACAGGATGGCATAAGGGAATTATACAAAGCCATACAAAGCCAATGGGATTGAGAATCCTTTTTTTTTTTTTTCTTGTTGGGCGCTGGCCTTTCTTCCCTTTCTCTCTTTTTTTTTCTTTCCTTTAGGTAACGCTTGGCTCCCCTTGGGTGCTGCTGTGTTTGGACAATGTCTTGAGTCTTGTTATGGGCGACGCCTCTTTGATGCTTAGTCACTAACTAACCTTGTCTCTAATGACAGGTGCTCCCGTTGATGGAGCGACAATAGAGGTGGAAGTGTCTTCCTTTCTCCCAAGAGAGCGAGGTTTTATGTCCCCAGTGCTTCTCGATCAAGGTCCGATGGCCAGGTTGCTTCCCGGGAGATGGGTCCCGGTGGTGCCCCAACTCTTTTTCAGTCTGGGACTTCTGTGTATACCAGAGTTAGCCCTGCTGTAAGAGTTGAGATCCAGTGCGGTCTTGCTTCAGGGACTGTAGCTTCACATAGCTGCCATGCTTCTAGCAGAAGCTCAGTGTCAATCTAGTATAGTTCCGCGGGCTACAACGTGCCTGGAGAAACAATGTTATCCCAATATTAAAATATCTAACATGATTACCTGGAAAGAGAGGCATGCTGTTTGCATGAGAGCAAAGTAAGAGTTGTGGATGTCTCGTGAGAGGGTCGCATGAGCTGAGGCTGAGCTTACTCAGAGTCTCGGAGGATGGCTGTCGTGGTAGACTACATAGGCTGATTACTTGCGCAAGAGTAGAGTTATAGAGGCCGAGCTACGTATAGTCTCGAGAGATGGCTGACATAGCAGAGGTAAGATAAGGCCGAGCTTCTTTGCAACTCAAGAGAGAGTGCGAAGCTGAAAATATAGGCTACTTGAGAACAGAGGTAAGACCGAGCTTCTTGGCGACTTGCGAGAGAGTGTGAAGCTGGATTCATAGGCTACTTGAGAGCAGAGGTAAGGCTTGTGCGGCAGGCACGAGAGGATGACGCGGAGCTTGCACGGCAGGTACGAGAGGATACCGTTGAATAGTTGAACCTAGCGCATGATTGGGCTGCCCAACTTGAGGCTAACTTTTCGAGTAGCACTTGAGAGAGCTACTAGGACAAAGACTCACTCCATGGAGATGGGGATGAGGAGGGCGCTTGGTGATGGGTGGCTGCTACTGAGCGTCTGGTGATGGACGTCTGAGGCTGGGCGCCTGGTGATGGGCGCTTGAGTATTGGGCGCCTAGTGATGGGCGCCTGAGACTGTGCGTCAGCTATTAGGCGCTTGGTGATAGGCGTCTGGTGATGGGCGCCTACTACTGGTTTCTCTGGCTTTGTCCCCTATGAGGCACCAATAATAGTTGGTGACAGGGAGAGCCTTGATTGTAGTGGTTGTGGCTCAGGGAGCAGTGACTGATCGTTGAGAGTATGATGATTATTGTCCTTTTGTCTACACCTTGTTGTTAAGCCATGTTCTGACTTTTATAAGTTATTTGTAAGTTTCAGGAAAGCAAGACAATTCGGACACAATAATATTCGCAGATTTCATAAAATAATAAATAACAGCATAAATAAACTAAAACAATAAAGGATAGATAACATGAGAGTCTCTAGCTTCCATGATCGCCATGTTGGCTCTCTCCTTCGTCTTCGTCCTCCTGCGCAGGTTTGTGTGGAGAGGGAACACGTGAGCTCCCCGTGCGCTGATGAGGGACTCCTAGACGAGGGGCACCTGGGCGTGGCCCTGGGGCGTTCTGGCGAGGGGCTTCCTGGTGCCCAAAAGAGATGAGTTGCTGCTCCTCTCCTGTTGGAGGGAGTGGGGCTCCTCCTTCAGGGTAAAGGTCTCCCTAGGCGAGCATCAACTGAATGATATGTTAGTTTTGCTTTACCAGCAGCTGCATGGTCTGTAATAGTTGTTGCCCGACGATGGGAGTCGTAGTAGTAGTAGATGGTTCCGAGGGTGCGAGGGGAGGTGGGGCCTTCTCCCGGTGTGTTGAGTTGTTGTCTCTCGGTTGTTGACTCGTGATTGCCATGGATTAAAAAATAGTAGAAAACTAATCGTTTCCCACAGACGGCGCCAAACTAATGATGCACAATTTGGTATTGCGTAACATCAACGGTCAAGTATATGAACGGGTGTGATTAATGAGCAATAAACAAGTTATCAATGGTAGTAACATAAATATGGAGTCCACACAAAGATTTATAGTGGTTCGATCCGGGTGACCTACTTCACTCTTGAAAACGACAGCGATGGCCGGAGGTGTTTTATTGATGAATGATGTAACCGAGAAAGTAATTATGGGTGTATTATAATGCTTTTGAGAGAGAGAGAGAGAGAGAGAGCAATGTGTGTAGGAAGGTGTAGTGTATGTAGGGATCTCAAGGTCCTGAGGTCATGCCCTCCATGTGGAGAGAGCTTACATTATATAGACTTAGTAAGGCGGTGAAGCGGTGACGTGAGGGAGAAGGCTTTTACTATTTTAGAAAGTACAGTTATAGTAGGAGATCTCTGTGCCTATCCTGATATTTTCTCTCTCGTGCTCCTATTCCTTCGAAGAGGATCCTGAGCTGGATTGAACTTGAGCCTGAGCCTGGACTTGAGTTGGAGTGAATTGGACTTGCATTAGAGTGAAGAAAGAGCAAGAGGAAAGGGGGGCTAGGCCATGGGCGGCACCCCCTTGGTGGCGCCTAGGCTTGGGTGACCCCCTTTGGGCGGCGCCCTTTGATCTCTTGTTGGGCATTGACTTCATGACTCCCTTGTTGGTTTCCTCTTGATGGGTTGACCCAGTTTTGTTTAGACTCCTTTCTGGATGCTGAATATTGGGGTCTCTCTTGGTTTATTTTCATTGGGCCTGACCCAGACAATTCCGCATTTTAATTTTTATAATACAACTATCACTCCATTATTCTAAATAATATATTTAATGACAATAATACTGTCGGATCAAAATAACATAAATTCCAAACTTACCTTCTACAAATCATAATAATTCATATCCAAACATAACATTTTTACAAAACAATTCACATGTTTTTTTCTCGAAATGAAATCCTAAAAATGGGGAATGCTAAATGCTAACAAATTTTGCCACGTGAGACAACCATGACCATCACAATCTCTCAAAACAAGATGTGTAACATTTGTTGTCAATCATTCTGAATGAACATCACCATTCTACCTCCGTTTTCCACGCTCTTTTGTTTCTGTTTTGGATCTGTCCATCATAATATTGTTGTTTCGCTGCAACAACCCTACGAGGAAGAGAGAGAGAGAGAGAGAGAAAACAGAAGTAGTTGAATTTAAGGATTTTTAGCCAACTCAAACAACCATGGAACGAAGATAAAGATCATAAGAGAGAGAAAGTAGAAAATACTCTTGTATTTTCCCAACTCAAACCACCATGGAGGAAGGAAGATAAAGAGCAAGGAAAGAAGAAGAAGAGAGAGAAAGAGAGGATAATTAGAGAGAGAGAGATTGTAAGGACAATATCAATGGAAGAGGAAAGAGAAGGAGATATTAGAGTCCCTCTCATCTCCGCTCTATTCTGCCTGTTTGTAATCTCCGGTGGAGTCTTCCTTGTTGTCTACGTCTACGCTCCCAACCTTTCTGAGCCATGGTTTCCCATGGCTGCGTTCTTATTAATAGGCTCGCCATGGATTTTCTGGTTCCTAACCTACATCTACACCTGTATCAAAGCTTGTTTCCGCCGCAACCCCGTCGAGGACCGCCAGATTTCCCGGCGTGGCAGCCTTGCAACACCACCACCAAAGCCCGCCAACACGGCGGTACTGCCAAGCAATGATGAGCCACCTGAGAATTCTCCTAAAGACGGACGGCACGTGCACTTTGGGGAGGCGGCGGTGGTGGTGAAAGGTGAGGACAGTGGAGGCCAGAATGGAGAACATGGCGGAGGAGAAGAGTCGTCGGTGAATTATCTCCTCCAAGGAATGTGAAATTTCCATTAAAAACTTCCTATGAATTTCAGCTTCACAATATTGCAAACAAAAAATGGGTATTTATTTTCTTCGCATTTTCTTTGTATCATTATAAAATTTACAATTTTTCGAATCGAATTACAACAAAATAGAGTTGTTTGGTATCAATCTTTAACATTTAGGATCCATCTTTAAATGTTTTTGTCATAATTTAACATCATTTATCTATAACTTGATTTGAAAAATTATAAATTTTGATACGATATTTCTTTCTTTATCGTGATGATCTTACTCGCAAATTATATGTTAATGCTGATTACGCCATGGATATGGGATATGCATTTTTGTGAGAGGGATGAAAGCTAATGTCCAGATCTACATCTTCTCCATTATATTTTTACTCGATTTTATTCGATGGTAGATCATTACTTATATATGAATGAGTGATCCATATATAAATAATGAGTTTCACGTGAATACATGATCGATGATTTACGATCGAGTAAAATTGTGTAAAAAAAATAATAAAGGATCTCAATCCCTGATGTCTGCCAACTGAAGGAAAAACTCTCGACAAATTTTGAGGGTGATTTGCGAACCCAAACCTTTTTATTTTATATTTTGAAAATATTTTCATGATAAAAAATCGTCTTAATCAGATGTCTTTTGGACTAGTGACTGTTACAAACATTTCAGATTTATAGTTATACTTTGTATTAAAATCCATGAACACTGCATTTGATTTTAGAGTCTTTGGGACTTAAATTTTCTCTTCTTCATTTTCCCCCGACTTTTCAAAAAAAAAAAAATGCATGTTTTGATCACGTTGTTGAATATTAGCATGCCCTTAGAATCAATCTTCATCATGTATTGTGATTGCAAACAAGGTTTTCACTTCTTTTTTTTCTCTGGGTAATTCTACTGTACCAAAAAAAAAAATACTGCACTGATAATTACTATTTTAATGAGTAAATTACAGTTTTTAAAGATAATTTTATAACTCCTTGCCTAAATTCATAATCAATCATGAACTTCCTCTTAAAGTTGTAACTTAACTTTTAAAAGTTGAAACTTTCATGATCGATTATAATATTTGAGATTGATCATTTCATTTTTTTATACTGTGTTTTTAGATGCTTAAACCATTTGGATTTTCAATCTTGCATGACAGAACTTTCTAGGTTTATATTAGGCATTTACGGGGCAGCGTCAAGAATTTGCCTAAGAGGGACAAAATATGAGGGAAAATAATTCAATAGTTGATAGAAAGAAAACTTTTAAGTTTAAACATAAAATTCATGGCTAAGTTAATATATGAAACAACAAAACCAGTTTTCTTTTGGTCTAAACAAAATTTGAATAAAAAAAAAAATAGGCTAAATATATAATTATTTAAAAAATTAGGAGGGCAAATGTAACAAGTTGAACATAATTATGGTCCAAAAACATTGCATAAATGAAAAAAAAATCAAAAAACGAGTGTGGCTCTTCCGCTAGGCATTTAAATTTCATTATTATATTGTTTGGATAGAATAATTTATATCTATATCGATATCTATCTATCTATATAATAAATACCAAACAACAATAATACCCTTTGTGTGACTTCTCATTTTCTTCTTCCTATGTATGAATACTATGTTAAATCACATTAAATGAGAGAAGACTCAAAGAGGCGGCATGTGCACATGATAAATACTGCTTTTATTTTGAGGCCGGCATTGCAACTGCTAGAATATTTCACTATTATCCACATAGTTTTTCTCCTAAGTGTCAATCTTGTAGCCATAGATACATGCTTCTTGAATAATCTAAGTTTTGTAGTTGGTGATAATTTTGTTTCATGTTCGACATTTTTTATTTTTTTATTTTTTGTGACCTTATATAAACTTGGTGGTGGCCACATGATTACGTTTTCAAGCTCTTCTGCATATTTTATTCTTGGTAATGTGACGGCAATGACTTTGTCGCTTTATGTTTTAGACCGAAATATTCAATTATTTCAATGTCCCTTTTAAAGAAAGAAGTTACTCATTATGTCAGCATGGATATGTTTGATACTGTTTATGTTTTGAGCACTTGCGATTCTTATGGATCAAATCCTTAAATTTAGAGGAATAAGTATAAGACCAAAAGAAAATATTCTAAAGACAGTTTGATACACTTAAATGTTTAACCTTCTTGTGTTTTTAAAACTAAATTAGTGGTTTTTACACTTTTTGGGTTTGCTCTTCCTCCTGACAAGCCTTCTTGAGCAAGATGCTACTAAAGTCCTCAGAGGAGAAAGTGAGCTCTTTTGTAGCTCCTCGATGCTCTAGTTAGTGTATAACTGTTATTAATGAAGTGCATGACACTCAACGATCTCAGGGCTTGGAAGACCCTTCGCCAAGAGGCCTTGCTACTTTTTGTGTGACTACTGATAGTGATGACCTACTTCACTCCCGCTACAGACCTTCAAACAACTGCTACTGGAAACTCTAAATGTAGCCACTACTACAGCTCTACTTGAGAACTGTTATTCTTTTGTATTGTGGCCCTAACTGAAAGAGAACAGCATTGCCCTATCACGGTCGCTGCTGAACTGCCTCTACTACAACTATGAAAGGGAGAGAGAAAGCACAGCTACGTAGCTACTGTAAGGTTATGTTTTTCCTTAAGGAAATGTTAGCTTGCATAATGTATACCCTCCCCCCCCCCCCCCTGGAGTTTGAATCCACAGGCGTATCCTCTCTGCGACTTCGTTTTCATCCTCTTCTCTAGCGTGATTTGGTTATATCATAAGTGACCATTGAAATTTACAGCGACTCGCGAGCAGCTTTCTCCGTGTGTCATGATGCCGACACAAGACAATAGTAAAGACTTGAAGTCAATACCAAAGCTGTAATCGTACGGATCACTTCTGGTAAACAGACTGAGAATATAAGAAGGCAATGGCTATTTCTATTCTAGAGAATATCATGAGGGCAGAAAGCAAAAGCCGAGCAAGGCTAAGATGTAATGTTACCTGCCTATTGTTATCTCTGAAGTAATAGGAATGTGTCTGGAAGTTGGACGAAAGGTGGTGGGCCCCTATTTGACAATGCCTCTAGACACAGCTATACTGATGCGACGGTGGCTCCACACCCTTAGAAAGGGTATAGGAGACAACAAAAAACTCATTTTTTTTAGCAAAAAGTCATCCCTTACTTCATTCATTCCTAGCGTTATCTGGGCTTCTTGTATGGGGCATTATGCTTATGGTTTTGGGTTAATTTGACTTAATTTTCAGTAGGAATGCGACTTTGCATTATGTTTCAATATAAGATTTTTTTAAGTATTATTTAACCAAGAACACTTTCTTGTAAAAAAAAAAAACAAATCTCTAAAATGGTTCACATATTACACACATGTATACCTACTAATAATATAAAAGAAATTATTATTTCAATCTAATTTAGTGACCTAAGCATTACTCTGACCTAAAAAGTACCTCATTGGCTATTGTAATAACGCTATTAACTAGTATTTTGGACGCTATTAAAGCATTTTAATATTTGTCTCTATTGCATAATGTTGATCAAGTTTTTTCTAATATTTTTTTTCCTCGATGATAAATTACCCATTATACAGTAATAAGAAATTCACTTATATATATAGAGTTCCACTTAAATCTAATAAAGAATGGCTTGTAATTTAAAAAAAAATGCTACTTAGACTGAATTTATTGATTTAATTTTTCAATCTTCTCATCCATAACTATTAGATTAACAGTATCTCCCAATATTTATTGAGATATGCTACTAATCATATGGTTATGATAAACTATGTTAGTAAATTATTTCAAGAAATTGGGCCTAAGTCGTATTATTTTTTTTTAAAAAAAATGACGACTCTGAATCTGACTGGCCAAACCCAATAAATCAACTAAGTCCAAGTCAGCTACAAGGCAGCTCAGACCCGTGTTGTCAATCCGACCCAGTCCAGGATCCAAGGAACCCGAGAAGATAAGAGCACGTGAAAAGAGAGACTATCAGGATATGCATTCATGAAGATCAACTTTACCTTAATTGTACTTACCAAAGAAATAGTGTTTTCTCATTCACGTCACCGCCTCACCATGCCTATATATTATAAGCTTTCTCCACATGGAGAGACACATCACATCTACCAACACATATCTTGATATCTCTCAACACACCTACACACTTAGTTTCTCTCTTCTAGCTATTGTATCCCTCTTGGAGTATACACCTATCAGAGACCTTACTTGATCAATAAAGACCATCGGCCACCGCTGTCGTTTTTGAGAGTGGAGTAGGTCACCCGAATCGAACCACTATATATCTCTATATTTGCTAATATTTGTTGTTCTGCCATTGATTATCTTATTTATTGTTCATTAATCACACCCCTTCATATAGTAGGCTGTTGATCTTGCACGACACCAGTTTTTGCATTATCAAAAAATATCGAACTTGAGATGATTAGAATCCGTAACACACCCCCATATATATATATATATATATATATATCATGACTTGATCAAAATAAAGCAGGGTAAGTGGTTGATCTCTTCAATTTAACAAAGTAAGTGAGAAAATTTGAAAAAATAAAGTGGGGTGAGAAGAAAAAGAAAATAAGAAATGTATGTTACCTAAATGAAAACCTAAAACTTGTATTTTAAATGGATGTGTACCACACATTAAATGAAAAAATTGATTTTTTTAGACCCATAAAATAAAATGTGTGGTGCATGTATATTTAGGATATAAAATGGGTTTTGATTTAGACAGTATAGTAGTGTTCCGACGTGAATGATCTGTCTTTGATCAAATTAGAGAAAAAATTAATTAATATGTACATAAGTTAGTTTAAACACTTTGACTATTAAAAAAAAACGAAATATATGAAGAAAATAACAAAAAGTTGCTACCTAACTGGCTAAAAACAGAACAAAAGTTGTGCTTTGGACCAAGTTTTGAAGTTAAAATTGCAACCCCAAACGTCCCTCAACTTCTAGCTGTCTTCAAATTCAAATACATCTCACATTTGTCAGCTCAACATTTTTACGATTATTAATATTGTTAACGATGTGGTGTAATCGTTACATTTAGCTAACGTTTGGTAACTCAATATTTTTGTATTTTTTTTTGTTTCTGTTTTTAATTTTTGTTAAAATTAAAAATAATAATACGTTTGATTTATGTTTTTGAATTTTTTTGTCATTTTGTTTTGAAAACAAGTGTGAATATTGAAAATAAGAAAAATAATATTTTTGAAAACAAAGAAAAATCAAAGGATGCGGTGTTTGGGGAGGCCTTTAACGAGGTCTAGTCTTGGACTGTTGTTAGAAGAAAAAAATATGACATTTTGTGGCACCTATATAATGCAAAAACAAAGCTTCTCTCTCTCTCTCTCTCGTATGTGGGTCTGCGACTATGGCAAAGCTCGCAGCTCTGTGGGATCCCAATTGGCGAAGCTCCGGCTTCGCTTCTCTTTGACGAAGCTCTCCACTTTCTCCGACGCTTATCCTTGCATCTTCTTAATCGGCGATGCTCACCCTTCCATTTTTTTCATATCTAAGTTTTATTTTTGCAGATGTAGGGATTTTTCTTCATCTCTATTTTATTTTGTGGTTGATTTCAACACCTGTGTTTGTGTATGCATCTCACTGTGTGTGTATCGGCGATGGTGGACTAGTATTGGTGGTGGTTTTGGGTGGGTTAGGTGGTGGATTTTGGGACTGCTGCAGTTGGGTTTTTGGGGTGGTTGTAGTTGGATTTTAAGGGCTGCTGCAACTGGGTTTTGGGTGGGTTGCGTGATGGAATTTCAGTGGTGTTGGTGGTGAGTTTTCAGTGGTTGGATGGTGGCTAAACAAAGAATGTGGTGGTGAGTTTTCGGTGGTATTGATGGTGGCCAAACAGATGGGTTGGGCGGTGAGTTTTGGAATGGTGAAGACGATGGTGGCAGGGTGGGGTGGGTTTTCGGTGATTTGAGCAGAGATGTATCTTGGATTAAAAAATTAATTAAAATAACCACAATGAATTATGAAAACACTATTATAATATTAAACATATTTTTTTATTTTTGTTATCATAATTTTTTAAATATAAATTACTAACATACATATTTTTAATTTTTAATTTTTATTACATAAAAAACAAAAATATTGTCGAACACGCTCTTAATATTTATTCAATGAACTTTTAAGAGGTAGATTAAATGATAACAGAGAGACGAATTGTAAACTTAACGTCCTGAGTTCAAATTTTATTAATCTTTTGAATCAGGCCAAGAGAAATTTACCCTTCATGAATATCGTAGTTCCAACGTGAATGACATGCCTTTAACTGCGTCAGGGAAGAGATTAGTCCAAGTACACATGATCTGGACAACCCTTTACTGTTGAATAAAAAAAAATTATTTAATGAGTAATGTTATTGAGATTTAAAAATTTAATATAATTTAATGACTGAATGATGTAATTTTATTATAATAATTGAATTAACATCAAATTTCAATATTTAATAAAATTCACCATCAATTCAAAGATTATATATAATGCATCAAATTTCGTATTTTTATTTTTATTTTTATTTTGTTTCAAAGATGAAGAATATTTGAATTAATTTATACTTCGATTAATTCAGTGCTCAAGGAATAAATAAAATCAAACATTGAAAACAGTACAAAAAGCACAACCACTCCAATGACCATGGCCACCAGCAAGACTCTTTTAGAGGATCTCCAAAAATAGTTGCTATTTTAGCTATTTAAAAAATAATTTATTCTATTTTAACTACTCATTTTTTTAATATACATTCTAACATATTCTCTATATTTTTAACTATTTTTTTAAAATATTATTTTTTTTCTTTTTTATTATTATTCTTTTCAACAACAAATTTTTGAAACAATCGTCATTCTCAACCATCAAATTTCTCAAACGGCTCTATTTTAACGGCTCTATTTTATTTTCGTTCAAAGTCCACAACCATTCGTTCAAAGTCCACAGCAATCCCCACTTGCTCAGACCATTTTTATTTTAACGACAGTGGACTATAAAGAAGAGAAGATCATTTTGGTTCAAAGTCCATTCCACCTACACTCTAATTTCTGTTTTCTTTCCTTCTCTGTATTATCTCAATGACTCATAATCCAGTATACAAAATGCTAATCGAAGACTCTGACTCTGATGATGAGTTAGAAATAGTTACATAAGTTGTTCTGGCACATGAACTTCAAAACAGCAAGAGGGGATCCACATCACGATGTGGTTCTGTTCCAGGCCATGCGATCATCAGACGTGATTCTTTGCAAGGCCACTTAAGGCTTTTTCTTGATTACTTTGCAAATTCACCGATATATGATGCAAAGTTATTTCGGAGGAAATTTCGAATGAATCATTCTCTTTTTTGACGAATACAATCTGCGATAGAAGCCCACGAACCATATTTTGTTGAAAAAAGAAATTGTGCTAGAAAGCTTGACTTGTCTTCTCT